GGCAGCTCCTGGCTCCTCCTCTGGCCCCACGGAAGCCTTCAGGCGGCCTCCCCAGGACTCCCGGAAGCCTCGCTCGAGCCTCCCGAGACCTCCTGGAGCCCGTCGCCGTCCCCACCGAGCTGTGGAGCCAGGCATCCCCATCGCTCCACGGGGAAGGAAGGGGAAGAGGAGGAGTTGGGAAGGTCCAAAGGTAACCCCCGGGACGAAATGCACCCAGTGAGGTGTCGCAGCGGCCACGATTCCAGCCAGGGTGGGCGCCAAAACGCAGCCGCTGGGCGTCCCGAGGTGGCCTCTCCACTGTACGTCTGTTCCCTGAAGGAGGAGGAGGGAGGAGGAGGAGGGAGGAGGAGGAGGAGGAGGAGGAGGAGGAGGAGGAGGGAGGGAGGGAGGGAGGGAGGGAGGAGGAGGAGGAGGAGGAGACGACGACGAAGACGAGGAAGGCGAGGACGAACGTCAGAGCCGTGCGCGCTCCCTTGTGGAGCCCGCCCGTGCCCAACAGGGCATGGCGTGGGCCGCGGATTCAAAAATGTGGTCTGTGGGCGGCTCCGCGTCGTAACAACCGTTCAGTGACCCCGGCGGCGGATGACCGTCGCAAGTCGTGCGAGCTATTGTGTTCGTGTTGTTCTGTTTCGGTCGCGGCCCGTATCTGGTCCTGACTGGCGTGGGCGTCGGCGTCGCACCATTGCCCGTTCCAACGGTGGAGACAACTTCTGGACGTCGTCGTCCCATCTCGTGGGTTGACCCCATGTTGCCGGCGCCCTACCTGTCGAATGGATCCGGGTTCCAATTAAGCGCTCTCTGCATCCAGCGTGTGGGGGGGGGGCACAGTTTTCGCCCATCGCCAAACCATTACGCGGCACATTCGCTATACATCTGGCATGTCATGTTTAGACATTAGTGCTTCTGCACTCCGCATGCTCCTGCGGATGAAATCGGACCCCAACTCGACGTCGTCGTCCTGCATAGTGCCCGGTCGCGTGTCCTCGTCGTTGTTGTCATCGTCCTCTTCGTTGGGTTGTTGAGCGGGTGGGCAGCCCCCGATCCTGAATGGCGCCTTCCCTCTTCCTCCTCCTCCTCCTCCTCCTCCTCCTCCTCCTCCTCCTCCTCCTCCTCCTCCTCCTCCTCTCTCTCCTCCTCTCCTCCTCCTCCTCCTCCTCCTCCTCCTCCTCCTCCTCCTCCTCCTCCTCCTCCTCCTCCTCCTCCTCCTCCTCCTCTTGCTGGTGTTGTGGTTGCTCTTTGGGGCTGTCGCTGGATAGCGGTGCGGCGTCGGCGTCGCTGCCGCGCGTCTCCTCGGCGTCCCCAAGATCGGTTTGACCGTCCAGCGCCGTGCTCGGCGCAACGGTCGCTCGAGGGGCTCGGTGTCCCAGCGGGCAGAGCTTGCCGGTGAGGTCCTGTCTGTGTCCGCTGAGGCATGCCCATGATGGCTGAGTCCGATGCCTCGCTTCGGTCTCGGGGGGCGTCGCGACAGGTACTGGTCTGGCCCAGGTAGGTGGCTTTGCTGGCTCGTGGCAGCACGTTGGTCGCGTAGCAATAGCATCCTGGGGTTTCGGCCAGCCTCCTGGTAGAGGTTGATCCTGTTCTGTCCCCATGCAAAGACGCGGGATGCGAGAGTGTCCCAGATACGGCGATCGGATCCTCCTTTGATATGTTTCCAACTTTGCCCATCGCCCAGAGCCATCACTGCTAGTTTGGCCAAACGGTCTGGGTCCCGAAGCTGGTTGGTCGTGATCTTTCTTACAGCCAGGTGCAATTCCAATCCGCGTGGCTTGGCTGAGGTGATGAGATTAGAGAGCAATGTTTTTTGAATAGGACACTGTTTGACTTGTCAGCAAGATGTCGTCTGCGAACCGAAGGCTCGTGAATGTCGACTCGTCGGCGTGGCCGAGCTGGGCCCCTAGCGTGACCGTGACCGAGCTGACCCGTCGTCGTCGGTGTCGTCTCTGCCACCATGGGTTTAGTGGTGCTAAGGCGTGTTGGACCAGCGCGTTCAACAGCGATGAACTCAAGGGATCCACCTGCTTTGTGCTGCGTCGGAGATCGTGAAGTGTGTTGGCAACGTCGGCGCGGACCACGGCTGCTTGCCCTTGGAGAACGTCTACGTACCCAGGTGGGACGTCTTGGTGAAATAAAATTGCCCACATGGCCTGTTGAAGTCCACGGCTTCAACCCAGAGGTTATGATTCCATTCAGCTGCTCGTTCACGTAGAACGTTGCAAACAAAGAGGTGGTCACGCGTGCCCCGGCCAGAGCGGAACCCAGCTTGGTCGTCAGGTTGCTGTCGGCCCAGAGACGGTTGTACCTTGTGTACAATAGTCGGCTGAAGAGCTTGTATAGCATCGACCTTTAATCGGTCGGGCAATATTTATGTGGAAGCGTGACGTCGACAGACTTCGCGATTGCAGTGATGACGGTCTTTCTGCAGCTAGCTGGCGTGGGGGCGTCTGCCCGTATGATAGCGCCGTACAACTACAATGCAACTCTGAACGTTGAAGCAAATCAGTCCGAATTCCGTTGGAGTCTGGTGCGTTGCCGCCCTTGAATTGCGAAGTTGCCATTGTGAGCTCTGCGTTCGTGCAACGTGGGATCTGCTACTGCTCGGGTATGCGTGTAGCCGATTGGTTTAGGCCGCTAGAACACTTTACAGATCCACATGAAAATTGAAAAGTTGTCTGCTGTCCCGTCTCGTCGTCTGCTTGCTGCCGTCGACTCCCATCATCTCAGAAAGTAGTGTCTTCCTCCGCTGGGTCTTGACGAAGCGGCTGTGTTCGAAGCCTTTGCACTGCTCTAAGATGGCACCGATTCGCTCCCTCCAGGCAGCGCGTTTCTTTATTGGAATGATTTGCTGGATATGTTCGCTGGTTGTTTGTCGGGCAGTGCCGTCTGCAGTGAGCGTATCTTAGCGTTGCTTGACCATGTCCTCAATGAGGTCGTCGTGTTGCTGGTGCTGGTGTCGTGATTCGCGCTGGCCAATCGTGAAGGCGCCACCGCGGAGGTAGCCCCCTGAGTTGCGAAGGTGCACAGGCTCTTCTCGATGGTGTAGCTGAGCTCCTGTGGGTCTGTCAGTAGCGCTCCAGGTTGCAACTGGCGGCCCAAATTGAAGGGGCCCTGGGACACACAAATAAATAGACACAAACAAAAATATTCCCCATATTTCCACATATTTGGAGGGTTTTCGTCTTCCCCCCCACTTCCCATATTTTCCCAGATTTTCTGGGAAGCGACGATGAATTGTGTCTGTGTGTTTCTTTCCCTCCTGACAAATGCTGCCGCTACTCGTCGAAGCCTATGCGTTCCCAGTGTCTGCTGTCGGCGTCGGCGCTTGAGATGTGGGACATCTTGAGGAGCGCATCGCTCTGCCGTGCGTTCGTGCCGAGAAGCAGGTGTGAAGAACGACAACATTTGAAGGGGCCCTGGGACACACAAATAAATAGACACAAATAACATGATTCCCCGTATTTCCCGATATGTTCTGGGTTTTTGTCTTCCCCCCCACTTCCCATATTTTTCCATATGTTTCGGGAACCGACGATTACTTGTGTCTGTGTGTTTTTTTCCCTCCTGAAAATTGTGGTCCGAGTTAAGATCTGCGGTGAAGGTGGCCTCAGCGTCGGTGCATGGAAGAAGTGAACTTCGATCTACCGAGATGTGATGGTATGGTCGTGGGTTTTCCGGTGTTGCGGCGCAGGTGATCTGCTTGTCTGAAGGTTTGCGGAAGAGCGTGTTCACGATGGCGAGTCTCTCGGTGATGGCCCAGTGTCGTAACCACTGCCCTCTGGAGTTCTCGTCGCATCCGTCGTCAGGGCGCACCAGAACGAGAAGAAACTTCATTCATGGTCGCCGAGGCTCCCGTGGTTGCTCGATCTGATCGTGGTTGCGCTCCAACCTGGGCAGCAAATTCTGCTGCGAACGGTACGCACGTTGTGGGCACGAGCCGCGAGCGAGCGGGGTCGGAGGATCGCGCCGCATCACTGATACGGCAGCGATGCATCGGCGACGTCGGCGATGCTTCGGCGCCATCGGCGTGCAGAACATCGGGCTCACATCGAGCCGCACGGGCGGTGCCTCGGCGGTGCCTCGGCGATGCGGCGCGGTCCTCGGACGACGTCTACTCGGACCCCCATCTGGGAGGACTGGGAACACGACCGCGGGCATCCGACGAAGAGAGAGGCCGGTTCGAGGAACGGGGCTCGATCGCACCTCGAGGGCCGGGGGGGGCAGGTCTGCGGACGCGTGCTGGCCCCTGTCGGGCCTCCAAGAGGCCACCTGGAGGCCGCCGGGCTGGGGACCTCCGGGGGGACCTGCGGGGGCCTCTGGAGGTCAGGCGCCAGGGCCGAGGGCCGAGGGGGGCAGGTCCGTAGACGCATGTTGTGCCCCTGCGGGGCCTCCAAGAGGCCACCTGGAGGCCGCCGGGCTGGGGACCTCCGGGGGGACCTGCGGGGGCCTCTGGAGGTCAGGCGCCAGGGCCGAGGGCCGAGGGGGGCAGGTCCGTAGACGCATGTTGTGCCCCTGCGGGGCCTCCAAGAGGCCACCTGGAGGCCGCCGGGCTGGGGACCTCCGGGGGGACCTGCGGGGGCCTCTGGAGGTCAGGATCCAGGGCCGAGGGCCGAGGGGGGCAGGTCCGTGGACGCGTGTTGTGCCCCTGCGGGGCCTCCAAGAGGCCACCTGGAGGCCGCCGGGCTGGGGGCCTCCAGGGGGCCTCGGGGGGTCAGGCGCCAGGGCGGCAGCAGGACTTATCACGTCGGGGCTTCGAGGCTCGAGGCCGTGGAGCGGTCTTCGCCTTCTCTGCGCCTCTGGGATCGCCTCGCCGCCGCGGCCGGGTCCGGCCTCGAGGGACTGGCCTGGGCGTGCCCCGCGAGGGGCCCAGGGGGGGCGCTGCAGCCAGGCCTCGTACTCCTTCTCCATGTCGTCCTCCGCGTTCGCGGTCCACGGGGCGTTGCCGTACCCTGTCGCCTGCGTCATCGCGTGCTGCGGGGAGGGCCTCCGCGCAGCCCGCCGAGGCA